CAGAATCAAATATCAAACCAAGCAATAAAACAAATGCACTTAACCTTAGCGAAAATGAACACATTCCACTATTTGATAATATTGAAATGTCTAATAATGATGATTCTGATACTAATGATTATAATAGCGATAATTGTAATAGTGACGATTGTACTAATGAAGAAAATGAAAATGGCAAATCGGTTATTGGAGAGTGGACTCAAGAAGATGAAAATGAGGAACCTGAAGAATTAACCACGACCTCTTATAACACTATTAACTTACATGAAAATCATCTAGCCAAACACCAAGAATCAAAGATTGAACTTAGATACCTTTTTACCTGCACTTTATCACAACCATCATTTGTTTGTACTCTTCAGCAAGATGTTGAAGTATCCGCTAATAATTAAAAATTTATTTTTTTTGATATTTTATGTAAAACAATAGTTGTCTTTTATTATAATAAAGAACTTGTACTAGTATTATATCTAAAAGATCAATGTATAACTTTTTACACTGTAATTAGAGTAAAAGCTTTTAGTAATACTGATTAAATTATCACCGTTGGTTTATGACCTAGTTACACAGACCAATTTGACCAATTTAACTGTAGTCAAATCGGTCGAATCGGTCAAATTGGTCTGTGTAACAAGATTATTGAAGTAAATTATCACCGTTGGTTTATGACCTAGTTATACAGACCAATTTGACCATAGTCAAATCGGTTAAATCGGTCAAATTGGTCTGTGTAACAAGATTATTACCCAATTTGACCAGTATCAAGATGCTTCGACCAGACCAGTTATTGGTCAAATTGGTCTGGTCAAATAGTCAAAATAGTCTGGTCAAGCCAACACTGATTATAACTCTAATCTAGGGCTATTACCCGGGTCGAAAAATAGCAACCTGGGTCAAACCCGGGTAATGAAATATTGACCTGGATCATGATCTGAGTCAGCAGATCAGGTGAATAAATTATTAAATATTACTAAATTCTATTAAAAATACTTTGATCAGTTTACATCTCTGCTAAAGCTTGATGAAAAATTATATTTGTATTGTTTGATAAAATGATTTCACATCAAAGCCTTGAGAATAATGCTAAGTTGTACGATCATGTTCTAAAAATATCTGCACAATTTTTACAATTTTATCAAATTTATATAAAGAAATAATCAGAATATTATGTAATAAAAGTGGGTATTTATCATACACAAATATGTATTTTGTATCATATTTTATCCCTTAATATGTAGACCAACGCAGACAAATTTGCCTGCGTTTTTGCACTTTTTTAGCTCTGATTTACTTTTT